CAATTAATAAAAAGGATACACTGCTATTGCAGCCCGAAATCTAGTTCCTCGCTGACATAAGGTCCTTGCGCTGCCACTGCAGTCACGGAACCTAATCTCTCACATAAGGTTCTTGCACTGTTACTACTGTTGCGAAGCCTAATTTCTCACTAACATAAGGTACTTGTACTGCTACTACAGCGATATTAACCAAAGGATACACTGCTACTGCAGCCTAAAATCTAGTTTTTTATTGCATAAAATCTCTGTACTGCTACAGCAGCCGTGGACCAAATTTTTAACATGAAGTTGTTGCACTGCTATTGTAACGCAGAGCCAATTTCTCACATAAGGTTCTCGTATTGCTACTGTCGCTTTGGAGCCATTAATCCTTTAAGGTGCCGTTGCACTACTACTTTAGCTTTTACTACGTTCGTAATGACTTACTAATATAAGTTCGAAGTACTATGCCAACGATGAAGCCAGCCTAATATCATAAGGCGGGCGATAGCGAAACCAAAGATAGATCTCATTAACGCAAAATTTCCCTCATATATACTAACTTTCACATGATTCAGCATGAACATCATATTACGCTTACAAATCCATGTACAATGATGTTATTCCGATCTCGCAATAATGTTGGCTCGTCACTTCGTTGACAAGCCAATCAAATCGGAAATCAGTAATCAGAAAGCAAACCGCAATAATTAACCAATTGCGACTGCGCCACCAATCAATTAATTGAGTACGACCGTAGATCATCACGCAAATTCTCGATTGCTATTGATGTATCTGAAAAACATTGCATCAAGTTGGATCAAACAGAAGAGTCCTCGCTACACTTCGGATTACATATCGATATCTTGGGGTAGTTATCTTTTTTCTGCGTGATTGTTTTTCCTTATTAGTCTTATGGTATGCAATATTACAACAAATAACTTAAAAGTCTTAACCTTATTAGACTTGTGGTATATAATATTACAGCAAATAACTTAAAAGTTTTATAATCCTCGATCTTTTGCATCACCGGTATTATTCTTTTCAATTTTGGCATCTTGCTTCTTATTATCGGATTTCTTTCAACCATTAAAAGTTATATCATTTTGACATTAAAAAATGTAAGTACGTTTTAGTTTAATAATTGACGAAATAACGTAAATGTTTTCTTATTTACAGTATAACAGTTTTGGATCATGCCTACTGTTGAGCTTAATAACCTTTTTCACGGGGATACTCCTGATGTTGCTAATATTTTTTCTGTTGAAGTGGATACTGAAACGACTATTAGCAGACTCAAAGAGATCATTAAAGAAACAAAACAAACCATTGCCTGTTTTAATAATGCAAAGTTTAAATTGTGGAACATCAATGAATCAAATGAGAAATTGAATATCCTTTTTGATAACCCTAATGCAAATATTAAAAGAAAACTTGGTGGCAAGATATTGGAGGAATCGGATAAGATTTCTATATATTTTTCTCACGAGTTAAAAAATTATATACATATTATTGGTGAATTATCAGGTTACCATCTTACTTTTAAAAGTTGTATCCAACGAAAAGAACTTGCACCTATGGACAAAATTATTTTTAAAGAAGATTCTTTCGAACTAGAAAGTGAAATCATCCTCACCAATAAGGGAATTCGAATTAAATTCATCAATAAATCCCAAGAACTTATATTAG